CGGGCGGAACCCCACGCTGGTATTTATACCTGCCCCCCGTCTCCGGGGCGATGGAATGACACGGGCGTGACATCACAAAGCCGTGCCCGGCGCTGTATGTAGTGGTTGGAGAGGGGCCCTGGGCCCAATCCTGCCCCCCCACAGCGGTGTCCAAGCAGCATCTGATTCTGTCCCAAGCCGTTCAGGCCAAGGGGGTCCTTCGTCTCTTCTCCCTCCGGTCCAGCCCCGACTCAGGGCAGGACCAGCCGTGTCTCACCCTGCTGCACGAGGCCAGGGAGGAGCTGGTTAAAATGCACTCAGGAGCCCCCAAGCAGAGGCCTGACCTGCACAGGAAAGGAGGCAACATCAGAGACACAGAATCATAGAAAATGAGGGTTGGAAAGGACCTCAGGAGGTCACATCTCGTCCAACTCCCAAGCAGGACGAGCCCCAGCCTGATCATCTCACCAAGGCTTTGTCTAGCCAGGTCTTGAAAACCTCCAAGGGTGGCGATTCCACCACCTCTGGGGAACCTGTTCCTGTGCTTCACCACCCTCCTAGTGAGAAAGTTCATCTAATATCCAGCCTCAACTTTCCTTCCTGCAACCTGAGCCCATTGCTCCTTGTTCTGTCATCTGCCACCACTGAGAACAGTCCAGCTCCATCCTTTTTGCCTCAGTTTCCCCTCTGACTCATTTCTATTTAGATTGGTGAGTCTCAATCAAGGGACCAGGAGTGCCCATCAGGGTGCTCCAGGGGCCACCCATGAACCTTGTGAGGTGTGATGGAAACATTGGCCCAATCCTCCAATGTGTCAAGGTCACTGAATCCTAGCCCTACCCTCCAGCTTATCTAGTACTCCCCACAGCTTGGTGTCATCTGCAGTCTTGGGTGCCTCCATCCCTTGGTTGAGAATCACCCATCTAAACAGAAATGAGTCAGAGGGGAAACTGAGGCAGAGTTGCAGCTGGAGACCCTGGTTGAAGCAGCTTTGCCTCATGTCATGGGAAAGGGCAAAGAGGAGCTGTCCTGGGTTTCTATGTCACTGCTACTCTACACTCTGCCTCCAGTCCTGCTGTGCAGCCACCTCTAGGGTGGACACAGCTGCACTTCTGCATCATACACCAGATCCTGCACAAGTGACACAGTCAAACAAACCAGAAAAGATCTGTGACAGAGTTATGACGTGACGGGATTTGGGGTTAGTGGGGAAAGCATGCAAGAAAATGAGCTGCTCAACTCATAAACAGCAGTAAAATGGGAGACAAAATAGGATTATAATAAATGGGGGAGATTTGCTGTCAGTGACACTTGCTTGTTGCAATATTGTCACCCACCAAATTCCCATCATGCAGACACAAATCGGTCCCTTGCGGCATGCGCATAAATTGGCCCCTGGGAAGACTGCGTTTGGCACTGCTGATCCCAGAGGCTTAAAAAGTCTTGTTGCTTCTCGGCATAATCAAGTCATGTCTGATGGCACACAGGAGTGTAACAGAAAAATGCATTTTCGTTGGTTTAATAAAAGATATAGGATTTTTCCAAAAAACCTTGTTTTCCAGAGACCAGTGCATTTCAACACCCAAAATACAACCCTGTTTCCCAGGTGGTGCATTTATCGCACAGACAAACACTGGGGAGGCCACATCTGGAGTCCTCTATCCAGTTTTGGGCCACCCACTGCAGAAAGGATGTGGACAAGTTGGAGAGAGTCCTGTGGAGGGCAACAAAAATGGTTTTGGAGCTGGGGGACAGGATTTGTGAAAAGAGTCTGAGGGAACTGGGCTGATTTAGTCTGGAGAAGAGATGATTGATGAGGGATTTAATAGCAGCCTTCAACTGCCTGAAGTAGGGTTGCAAAAAGGATGGAGCTGGACTGTTCTCAGTGGTGGCAGATGACAGAACAAGGAGCAATGGGCTCAGGTTGCAGGAAGGAAAGTTGAGGCTGGATATTAGATGAACTTTCTCGCTAGGAGGGTGGTGAAGCACAGGAACAGGTTCCCCAGGAGACGGTACTCCAAGCCCAAAAGGAGGTAATCCCAATGAGGATCAAAGTGGGCAAGAGGGCGCAAAAGCCACCATCGCTCACCAAAAGCATCCAGGAACGTCTCCTAGCTAAAAGGGAGGCGCATACCCAATGGCAGGGAGGGGCCATCACCATGGAGGACTATACCTCGGTTGCTCAGGGCTGCAGAGGGGCAGTCAGGAAGGCCAAGGCACAGATGGGACTGGGACTAGTGACCCAGATCAAGGGCAACAAGAAGTCCTTTTTTAAATACATGGGGGCAAAAAGAAGGTACCGGGTAATGTGGGGCCTCTGGAGGACACACTAGGGAATCTGGTCGTTGCACCAAACAACAAAGCTAACCTATTTAACAATTTCTTTGCCTCCATTTTTCTGAGCAGGAACAGGGTCACCCCCCCCCACCGGGACCCCCTCAGGTCCCAGGGGAGGCGCACCCAGGCCTAGGATCAGAGAGGACCTAGTCAGGGAACTTTGGAGGGACTGGATGTATTTAAATCAGCTCGTCTGGACGATCTCCACCCCCGAGTGCTAAGCCCCGAGCACAGGCTTAGCTATGTCCGAGATAAAGAAAGTTGCAGCATCTGAATAGTAAATCAAAAGCCTGGAATTCTGGAAGGCTTTTGACACTGTCTCTCA